AGTTCAGGGGAGGTTCGTAATCGCCTCTATGGTTCTTTGAAGCCTTTGCAAAACATGAAAAATTTGAAATTTTATAATTATGATAATACTGATGTAGGAAGAGATTTTAAAGATGAAGATATTTCCCCAGAAGAATTGGGAAAATTACCAGAAAATTTAAATCTTGTTGAGAGAAATTATTATTCGCAATATCTAATTGTTTTAATTTTGAATTGTTTTTAAGATTAAGTTTTCTAAGTGAATTAGAACTACATCCAAGAAATTTCAAATTAGGACAATCAGCAACATCCAACTCTTCAAGATTATTAATTCAACAAATAAGTAAAATGAGTTCTTTATTATTTTTACAATCCAGTTTATTTAAATTATTGCCACCACAATTAAGCATTTTTAACTTAGAACACATGTTAACATCTAATTCAGCCAGTTTATTTTCACTACATTCCAATATTTCTAAATTATCAAATCCTTTTAATTCTAATTTACCTTTTAAGTGCTTATTACTAATATCTAATTCCGTAATATTTTTTCTTTTATTTATTGGATGTTCTGCATCCAACCATTCTTGTGCATTTACCATAATGAAGTATTTTAGTGATTTTGTTCTTCTGAATTATAAAAGTTAACTGTTATCTATGTTAACTGCTAACTTATTTAAATAAATAATAATGAAGAGCTAAATTAACTGCTAAAAACCTTGTTTAGAGTTGTTGGCTTGCTTACTAAAAAAACCGAATAATAAAGCCAATTCTAGATTTCACCCTGTTTAAATGCTCTTTCGATTAGTTTATTTACTTCTTCCTCTTCCCTAACTTCACCATCAACCCAACTATCACTAAATAACTCACTAATAAAAGACTACCTCAAATTCATCTTTCATGATTTCATTCCTTAATTAATTGCCCTTTTTGGCCAGTAATTATTTGGCCTTGTTCAGCCAATTTCGCTGCAATTAATTTATTGCGTTCCGTAATTACCGTTTCCAAAGTAGTAGCCTTTTGGACTAGTTTTTTGACTGAGTGAGAAACAGAAATATTTAATTTTTGGCAAGTTTTCCAAGTATCATTTTTTACTAATTGGAGGATTTTTTGGTATTCGGCCTGCTGAATAGCCGTGTAATCTAGGTTTTCTCCTTTTAACTGTTTTTTTAATTCTTGGATAGTGTTTTGGGCAGCGGCTAATTGCTGAGCCAGATTTTCCTCATTAACCGAATTAGGTTTATCCAGCAATTCGCGGAGTTTGCTAATTACTCTTTCTAAGTTAATTTCTGAGGATTTTAATCCTAATTTTAAGTCTTTATTTAACCTTTGGGCGATTTCTTGTTCCTGATTTTTTATTTCCTCTTGGGCTAGTTTTAGATTATTTTCCGCTGTTTGCCGAGTTTCTTTTTCCTGGGCTAGTTCAGTTTTTAAACTATCCCGTTCGGTAGTGAGGGTGGTAATGATAGCGTCTTTTTGCGTTTTAGTGGTGTTATGGGCAGTTTGTTCCTTGGCTAAATTACTTTGTAAATT